TTGAGTTGAGTGAGTTTACGTAAACTTGATTTTGATTTTGGATTAAAAATTGAGATTGAGCTTTAGTCTAGACTTTAATTAGAGTGGCATTTATAGTTTTTGAGGTTGAGTGAGTTAAAATTTGCGTTTGGGTTAGATTTTGAGCTGGAGAGAGAGTATGCGTTTGAGTTTAAATTTAGCTTTGCTTTTAGTTGAGTATGCGTTTGAGTCTGACAACTGATTTTAGTCTGAGGTTGGGTTTTATTCTGAGTATGTGCTTGAGTTAAGTTTGAGCTTGAATTTGCGTTTGAGCTTGAATTTGAGTTAGATGTAACTTCCAAAAATTGGAGTTGGATTTGAGTTTCCGTTTCAGTTTGGATTCGAAATCGACTTTAAGTTAGAGTTAAAATAAAATTTAACTTTTGAGTTTGAATAAATTAAAATTTGAGCTTGACTTTGTGCTTGCTTTATATTAAGTATACGGTTGAGTATTTGCCGGCATTTAAAATCGGGTTTGACTGGAATTTTGAGTTGAAGTTTGAATTCAAATTTGATTTTCAGTTTGAGTGAAAATTTTGAGTTTTAGTTGGTGAAAGAATTTCTGTTTCAGTTTGATTCTGGGTTAGGGTTTAAGTTTAGGTTCGAATTTGAACTTGAGCGAATTTGCGTTTCATTTTCTGTTTGGGTTGGAGCTCGAATTCGACTTGAATTCAAGTTTGAGTTAAAATTTGTGTTTAAGCTTAGATTTGTGTTTGCATTTGAGTGAATTTGAGTTTGATTTGTAGCTGGAATTTGACTTGAGTTTATATTTGAGTTCGAAAAAATGTTTGAGCTTAAATTTGAGTGTGAGTTTAGGTTTTTGTGAGTTTCAGCTCGATTTGGATTTGAGTTAAATTTTTAAATTTGTGTGAGAATTTGTCATTAGGTTTGAGTACGTATGTGACGTTCAATTTGAGTTTCACTTAGATTTTGAAAAATTTTGAAAAATTTTAGCATTCAATTATAAATTCGGGTGTAACATTTCCAAATTAAATTCGAATCGGAAAACATGTCCTGGGAGAACCGCTGCCTGAGCCTCGGTTGCTTAAATTTTTTTCTGTGTACATTTCAACCGTTTGCCAAACTGGTCAAAATTGAGTTGTCTACCTGGGAAAGTGTGAATAAATCAAAATATGCAAATCATTTAGAAACTTGCCGATAATTCATTAGTGTATAAATAGTTACGATCGTTGAAAAAATTGCGTTGAAATGTAGTTGCTACTAATTGCTACCAGATTTATTGCAAAGATTTTCACTTTTCAATGTGAAAATAAATTTTAACGCTAACAAATTGAGCGGAAAATACGAGAAAAAAAAAACAAAAACAATTTCCGCATGAAGCATGCGCGGCGGGACAAAACGGATGCTACATGAAAACTTAAATATGGTACTTACGTATATATGTATATACAGACATACATAAATACATACGAATTAGTTGTAAGACAGAAATTAGATTAAACAAATATTTCTAATTTACGCAAATTTTTTTTTGCCAACATTTTATAGGTCATGCGCATATGTATGCCTGGTTCAAAATTAAATCGTGTTATTTTCCATTTATCACCGCAGTTCAATGAACTTTGCCGCCGGCGACATTTTCACAACACCTTCATTAGTACATGAAATTACATACATATATCAACTATCTTCCTTCGAAAACTTTTTGATTAATCGAAGATGCAATTTCATAATCGCCATATCGTTGCTTGAGGGCTTGGGAGTGTGTTTGTATGTACATACATACATACATACATACATTTGTATGCGTATATTTGTACACAGATATTTATGCATCACCGTTATCTTTGTATTTTGACTTCGAGAAAGGCAAACTCATGGCTAACAAATTGATAAGTCGTGCACCGCATATTTGCTTAAGGCACTCTGTTACCACTTCGTTTTGCAACGTTGAACCGAAACCGAAACATCATCTACAACACCATCACCACGACCAAAACACAACAGCAGATACACAATGGCATCAAAGTTATAAATAGTAAATAGGTTTGTACATACATACATACATAAAAACGTAGCTAGGTAGGTGTATGTATGTATGTATGTATGTCCACAGGTAATCACTAATGGACAAGAGTTGAAAAGTCAAAGAGTGTCAAGTGACAAAAACGCGGCGACTGACAAAGCCGATTTGGTGAGAAAGAGGAACGTGTCTCAACTTACGTGTACTCTTTAGTACAAAAAAAAACAAGCAACAATTACAATGCATTTTACAATAGTACACATGTATATGTCATATTTACTTTGAAGATTACAGAGGTTTGTGCAATATTTTTTTAAGCTTTCAATTACACAGGCGCGTTTTTTTGTATGGAAATATATGACTTTTAGTGTGCATCATTTATTAAATTTATTAAAATGACAAATTGGGTTGCCTATGGACTTTTTTTGTAAATGGTATTTGCCTGTATTATTGCTGGGTATGTCTGCTGACCAATTTGGGATATGACTATGAATAGTGAAAAAAAATTGTTTAAGAAATACTTGAAGCGATAAACCATTACGAATTACGAGTACGAAGAATTAGTACGTCACCTATTTTAATCCATAAATTGAAAGTATAAACAAAGTGAAAAATTTCCATTAAAAATGTATGCCTCCATCACAAGCCGGCCTTCGTATGAGCAAGTTGACACCAACTCCATAGCCAAGGGTACAGAGGACGGCTTACAATCACGAGAGATTTAGCCACCATCGGTAGATCTCTATGCCAAATTTAGGTTAAATGCAATCCAGCCGTGTAAAGACCTCAGCTTCGGACACGCAAATGTCCTTGACACTCTACCTTCTAACCTACGACAGCTAGATTATACCACTACTCTACTCTGTTTAGAAAATAATTTCTCCATAAGAACCTCAGTGAGAAACAAATGGAAAGGTGCCATAGAATAAGACTTAGGGTCGGTGGCTATATATTCACAGATGCTTGCAAGCTTAACGAACTAATGGATAGCGGCATTTACTCTGGTGAATTTGTGCTAAAGCTCAGTACCGCACCATTGTAGCGTTATTAAAGCAGAGCTAAATGCCATAATGGAGGTGGCTTGGAAGCTCATAACCTCTACCACTTCAGGACTCTGACAACCAGGCGGCTATTAAATCTCTAAAATCTAACGTAACAACATCTAAAGCCATACGAGGGCAGAAGGATTCTCAACTTGCTGGCATCAAAAAGCTCTTTGACTGTTGTATGGGTCACTGGACGCAGATACATTCGCGGGGTGGAAATATCCGAAGTCAATTCGGATGCGGACCAAGTGCAGAAAGACCTGTCCGCACTTGGGATGAACAACTGGCGCAAATCTGCAAAGGAAAGAGGCAACTGTGGAAGTTTTTTGGTCTCGACCCAAACCGATAAACGGTTGCAGTGCCAAATAATAATAAGAAGAAATTGAGTACAATACCGGTAAATGTAAATAGAACTTAGTACTTTTAAGTATCTATTCGACACCTAATACTGAGGACTTTGAATCGATCCTGAGTTTATGCATCAAGGTGATGATTGGAACAGAGTATTTTTGGGCACTGAGTACTTTCGAGTTTTCTTGTCAGTACTGAGTACTTTGGAGTATTCATTTTGGTACTTTGCAGTACTCAGTATCGTTCTTCTCTCAGGTTAGTAGACGGAGTAATCACCGAGCACTGCCTGATGGGATCTGATGTGACTGAGAGAAGTCGGATTTGTCGTGAACATTTTCGAATCCTGTACGAGATTCTTTGTTCGCGGTAATCTCGGAAACTACTGAACGAATTTTTACGGGGGGTTTTATTTTGTATCGATCCGCACCCTTTGTTGGATTACAAAAACTGAGATGCCAAATGAAAGCTATTGTTCGCTAGAAAATCACTAAGGACTTATTTTTTAATAGGGTTGCCATCTGTTAAGAAAACTACTATTTTCAGTCCTATTAAGCGTAGGCGTCAGTTCTGCACCGTCACTGTCAAATGAAAAGACTTAGGCTCTAGATGTGTAATAATGTATTATTTTGCTGAGTAGTGTTGCCACCTATTTAAAATCTATAAGATCTTCACCGTTCGTTGGATAACAAAATGAGATACCAAATGAAAGTGCATGGCCTTCGCATGCACAAAAACTTTAATTTTTTTTGAGTAGGGTTGCCATCTATTTAAAATTAATATCTTCTATACATAGTAAAAAAAAAGGCGAGATATTTTTGCCACGCTACTGAACGGATTTAGATAAAATTTTTTACGGTGTATAATAAACGAAGTACATGATGACATATGATTTCTTTCTCCAAATACGTAAATGTACATATATATGCATACATTCAGCGCGTGGCGAAGCCTCTCACATCCGTGGCCGCCTAGTATTTTATAATTCGCTTAAAATTAAACCAGAAAAATAAGTCGATAGTATAGGTATTGTAGTATGGCAGCAATTAAGCATTTGATTAAATTAATCGATTTTTTTTTGTCCAATTTACGATTTAATTTATCGTAGTTTTGTGTTTCATCAATCAAATTAAATAATTATCGCCGCTAAAAATACTCGCTTTATTTTATTGAAGGCTAATTAACAAGATAATTAGAATTTTTTTTTATGGAAAAGAATTTTTCGATTAAACGATTATTTCTCTATATCTGCAATTAATTTCTTTGGCTTGCGATTAATCATATGATTAGTTAATTGATTATTTCATTTTTATGCTATTCATACTACTGTTTAGTATCTCGATAGTATAGTGATTAGTAGACCCGCTTGGTAATTTTTTTAACTCCTCTATATAGTACAGCTAGGATCGTAAATGTTCTGCAATCGAATTTATGCCATTACGGGCAACATGTAGACATTACTTATACATAAGCATATATACATACATATGTATATACTACGTATTTAGCTTACATCACAGGAAAAGCCAATTATCCATCAAAACAAAGAGTCACTTTCACCCATTAAGTATGTAGTAGCACTCGAACTTTTATCAGTCACTTACCTCGTTTATTTCATCCTCCAGCGCGCGCTGACGCGTCAACTCACGCAATCGCTCACGACGTTGCTCCGTGAGCTGCTCCAGACGCTTGGCCGCGCGATCGACCTCATTGAATAGTAATGTCACCTTGTGTAGTCTAATTGCAACATCCATGTTGCCGACGCTGCAGCTACTGCTGGTGCAATCTCCTGCTGCTGCAGCTGCTCTTCCTCCTCCTACTGCATTATTAGCTACCGTTGTGACGATGGCTGCTGCTACTGTTGCTGAACTATTGTTGTTGATGCCATCATATGACGTCATTGTGCTGTACTTTGACACAGCGGGGCGATTTTGTGACTGGCTAATTTGGCTGTGTTGTTGGTGCTGCTGCTGCTGTTGTGAGTGTTGTTGTTGTTGTTGCGACATGCTAAAGCTATAACTGCCACCAAATCCCAGGTGGCTGATGGATGAAATGGTCGACAACAGTTTGTTGCCGCTGCCGCTGTTTCGATTGTTGTTGCAGCCATTACTGCTGCTGCTGCTACTGTAGTAATAACGGTTGCTGTTGTTGTTGTTGTTGTGGCTACTGTTGCCATTCAAGTTGATGCTGCCATTATGATTATGACTATTTTCACCACAGTTAGTTGTCATTGCGGTCGACGGCGGTGGCGATGGCGGTGGCGTTACTGTTGCAGCAAAACATTTGGCCAGCTCCTGCAGCCGTGCCAATTGCAATGCACCGCGCTTGCGCAAATTATGCAATTCAGAATCCATGAGCGCGCGACTCAACGCCCGATGTTGCGCGTACAATTGACGTCGTGTGGGCAACCCTTGCAGGTCGGCGGAGCGTATGTCACTCATGGCGGCCACTAGCCGTTGGCCCGCCGTTGCGCATTGCCGTTGGAAGGGTTCGAGTGCGACGAAGAATTCGCGCCACTTCCGCGCGTCGTGATGATGCAAACCTTGCAATTTGCCGTACGGTATTTGCGATGGTGCAACACTTGTCGTGACTTCATTGACGCTAATGAATTTCAACGGGTGTTGTTGCGGCTGTTGGTGTTGTTGTTTTTGTACTGATTGCGGTTGCTGCTCCTATTCGAGGGAAAACAAAGCGAGAGAAAGAAATCAAAGAAACGTGTATGGTTTGTTTGTATTGCTATAGTTGTTGTTCTTGTCGTTGTTGTTGTTGTTGGCATTTGCACGTTCAATCACTTGTGGAACGTCCAGTGGTCCGTTTGTTTGTCTGTTCGATTGTCTTGGTCATGTCTTTCTATTTCTGTTTACTTTGGTAAGCGTTGCTGTCATTGCAATTGTTGTTGTTGTTGTTGTGTTGGTTCTTGTTAAAAATCGGGTTAATTGGGTGTTATGTCGGGGCGTTAACCGCGTGCTCAGATGTTGATGATTTGTTTGCCAGGTTTTTGTTTTCTTCTTGCGACTCATTCCACCCTCTCGCCGCCGTCTGGTCCTACTCTGTTAGCCTACATTGCCTATTTTTGTATATTTTGCTTTGATTTCCTCTATTTGCCATTGCAATTGTTGTTATTGTGCTTTCAAAACCTTGTTATTTGCTACTCATTGCTACTCATTTAATTGTTAACGAATCGACATCAAGACATTTACCTCGTTTTATGTTACGACAACCTACAATTTTCCAACTTTTTTTTACTGTTTTTTTTTGACATGCCCTGGCCCCGAAAGTAGACACCGAAAGTTCAGCAGTTCACAATTGATTTATTTTTGGGAACTTTTGGCGCTTTTAATGCCGATTGCTGCAATGTTCATTTGTATTATTTAATAAGTTTTATGTCATTCTTTGGAAAATATACTTATACGCGGTAATGCGGGTATTGGCAGTCAGCTCAGAGGTGCCGCTGAGAAATGCACTTGAAAAAAATGAAAGGAAACTTGTGAGTAAGCCTATTGAAGTCCATTTTTGGCAAGAGAAATGTGTTCTCGAGAAAGATCGCCAGTCTTTAAATTTAAGTAGTAGAGGGAAAACTTATATACCCTCTTAAATGGCACTAAAGATGAGAAGATGACCCCAAGCCGCCTGTTGAGCACAACGGAGCTTCATAAGCTTACAAGGTCTTGCCGAGCATGATGTCTGAAATGCTAAAAACTACTGTCCATTTGAACCAATTACCTAAATTTTCTAAGAAACAAGTTCTCAAATCGTATTCCTTCTAAGAACAATTGCTAAGACGATTCCGTATTTTTGTGTATACAATATAACCCCACATCCGCTTACACGAATGGCTCAAAATAATTTTGAAAGTTGAAAGTGGATACACCCGAAAGACCATTCATGTAGTCTTTGCTTTAGACTGCCAGACTACAGCAGCGTTTGCTAAACATAGATCGTAGCTATAAAAGTGTTGCGTTCTGTCCTATCGGCTCATTAATTTAACCTGTTTTCAATAATTTTCTAGTCTATTGGCCAAGCAGTTATCAGGTCACCGTACTCTCCGTACAGCCTCGTTTATAGTAGCGAAAGAATGCTGACAAGTCGTTTAGAAGCTAGCTGCTCAAATTGCCACCCCTATTGTATGGGCGCCTGGCCTTGGAGACAAAAAGTATGGCATACCTGCTAATCCTGGCCTAAATCAATCTTATGTAACAGATAAATAAAAAATAGTGGACAGAAACAACAACAAGAAATAATAATTTTTAAATCATTGGACTATAAGGTCTTCAACTTCGGCAAGCGACCGGACTTATAACCGGCCATTGTTTAATGCGAAGGAATGTTAGTAGAATGGGCCTGCCGATTAATATCTTTCATCGCAACTGCCGTGATAAGCAAAGAAATTGAAATCATAGAGCACTACCTCTGTCTCTGTATCTGCCCTGATCTAGCGAGGACGGGAAATAAACCATTTTACTATTACTTATCAGACTATCTTGCGGACCTAGGAGAGCAGACAAGAACGAAACGACTTCCTCAAACGATAACGGTGTGGATCTCTTTTCTGCTGGCTTCAGTTCACCTTAACTTATCCTAACCTACTATTGCCTTACTTTTCACCACACGCCAAATCTTGGAAAAATTGGATGGAGTTAAGAACGACTTATGTACCCCATCTCTTTGACGAGTTTAAAACTGCTTTCTACGCCAAAAAAAGAGGCACCTTCCTTTTGTTGCGCTGTCTGCATTTGGTGGCGCGGCGAAACTAATACGACTAGGCGATAAAGATCATGTTCAACGGAGGTCTTGAATAACTCCCGTAATTTCCCTAAGAAGGTGAGAACTTCACAAAGTTCTCCGTGATTGAATGAATTACATCTGTGGAAAGACCGTACGTATGGACTTTCTGTACTCTATGAACGATTCAAGCATTTGCGAAAAATCTAACTACATATGTCCTTTGCTTTTCTTCGAAAAAAAAATTCAACACAATGTTTGCTTCAAGGAAAAAGTAAAAGAATACTGCTTTGCTTTGGAGTTTTATTTTACGGACATCTCACAAGGGATTGTGGCGCAAATGCGAAGTTTTTTCCAACTACCTTCCAAATAGAAAAGTCCTATACAACTGCAAGGGCTAGTCAGTGTTTTCAGCCTAAAGTCTTTACTATTAGAGGGACGTGTAAAGTAGTTTCCGAATGAAAACTAATTGGAACCATCACCGAATCGAATAGACAGGCGGCGATTGAGGCAATTGGCTCTACAAGTATCACCTCCAGCACAATAAAAAAAAAATGCAGAGAGTACGTTGAGGCTTCTGCTCATAGATATGCTGTTGCGATGATCTGGATGCCGGCTAGTGTCAGCATTAAAAAGGCAGTGGCCCACCTCCTTCTCAAAATGCATTTAAGTTCTCAGTAAAATGAACAGCAGAGCTTTGTGTCGTTGCTATTGAGCATCTCCGGCTCTTATCTCGCCCAGCTCTGGACAGCAAAGCTTTGGAGTTTCTCGCCGAAGGTGGTCCATTGGCTTTATGAAACCATAATTAACCAAATTTTACTATACGGGGCACTCGTCTAGTGGAACATGCTAAAAACGCCTTCATCGTCTAGCAGCTGGAAGTAGTGCCAACAGCTGCCTAAATTGGGATCAGTGGGACACTTCGAACCACTCCTGCTCTGGCGCTAAATACTATGCCAAATGCTGCCGCTACGCGCATCGTAGTACGGCTTAGTGAAGTGCGCTTTAAGTTCCCCTCTTGAGCCATGGGAACTCCAGTATTTTAAAAAGTTTCGAGTTCACCGCACTCCAGTTCTGTGGACCGAATGGATTTTTCACCACCCATATTCCAACGAGAGAGGAACGGCGGAAACGCGACCTGGTTAAATTTTTTACCGATGGATCGAAACTAAAGGGAAAACTTGTTGGAGGTGTCTTCTGCGAAGCAATCTCCATCATCCTGAAATTTACGCGACCGGATCACTGCAGCCATTTCCCAGGAACAGGTAGCCGCAATAAAAGAGGCTTCGGATTGGTTGCTCTCCAGTATGATACCTTTAAAGGTAGGTAGTACATATGCATCTTTTCCGGCAGTCAAGCAGCCGTCAGAGCTCTTGGCTCTTTCATGGTTCGCTCGAGAACGGTGAAGGATTGTTTGACTTACTTATCGACCGCATCGGATTATTATGCTGTTAAGATTATTTGGGTTTCGGGTTACAAAGAAAACATTGGAAACTGCATAGACGATGAGCTGGCAAGAAAGGAATCCTTGAGGATAGAGTTAGTCTAGGTGCCCCTCTGACCACTTGTGGTCTACTTCTGGACAGATGGACGTTTGGTCAGCTCAGCGGGCGCAGGGTGAATACCTTGGAATGCAAGGTGGATAAAGTTTTCCAGACACGTGTAGACCGGAAGCGGGGGAGCAGTTAGGACTTAAAAAGTCACACTTCAGGCTATTGCTGGGAGGTCTGACTGGTCATTGCCCTTTACTGCAGCAGCTGCTTAGAGAATGAGGAAGTGGATTCATCTCAAAAGTGCTACTCGGGTACCCTGAATTTTTAAGCCCAAGATTCAATCAGCTTGGGCGCACTTTTTCTACAGCACTGAATGGTATAATGGGAATGGATATACGTGGCTTGAGAAGCTTCGTGGTGAGCTCGGAGCTTTTTTGCCTATAAGAAGTCTTAGGTCTCGACGTTCGGCTCCTTCCCACCCTCATAATTGTCTAAGTGTATCTCCACCTACGGAGGCAGCCCTTCTACCTAACCTAACCAATGCTATGATTTCAGCAGCACCGTTTTGTGCAGTGTAACGGCAGTCCAATGTATTTTTTTTTATCTTTAATTTTTTTCTCTCAAAAGTGTGGGCGCAACTTACCTTAATGCAACTTTCGTTGTTGTTCTCACCATTGCCAACCATGCTGATAGCTACATTGTTGTTGAATGTTGTGGCATTTGGTTGCTGCTGCAATTGCTGTTGTTGTTGTAATAAGTTGCGTTCGAGGCAAACGGCAAGAATTTCGCAATACGCAATTTGCCTTGTCAGGAGACGCAGACTTTGGTAAATTAAGTCGATTACGCACATTTGGCTTGGCTTTTCGATGGCAATTAGAATGGTGAACGTTGGTGTTGCAGCATTGCTGCCACTGTTGCTGTTGCTGTTGGTGTTGGTGTTGGTGTTGGTGTTGTCTATAGTGGTAGCATTCGCATGGGCGGGTGATTTAACGGCTGTGGCTGTTGTGACATTTGAGGTGACTGGCATAGTTGTAGTTGTAGTTGTAGTTGTGCCAGCAGCAGCTGGCTGTGCGGCTGACGTCGCTACCTCTTTGACCGTTTTCGGTGTCGATAGACGGCTGATGGACGATTGTTGCGGTTGTTGTGACTGATGTTGGTGGTTCTGTTGTGGCTGTTGCAGTTGCATTGAAGGTTGCTGTTGTTGATGGAGTGTGGTACGGTCATTAGCATTCACAGTTGAAATTCTGCAATTGAAAATGAAACGAATACAAAAAAAAACACACAAATTAAAGAACCGAAAAGCATTAATGAAATGAGTCAAATGCGTGACAGACCATTAAAAGTAAAATAAGAAGTACATAAATCAGAAAAATCGGCGTAGACAAATGTTGAAAAACTCGTTGATAGTATTTAAGATTTTGTGTTAGCGGCTGCAGCAAATCAAAATTATATATCTTTGCGTGTCGGGCGTATCTTGCAAAGTGTCCCGCAAGCCAGATAAATGATCGAACATTAGCCGAGTTGTGATGAAAAATGCGTGAATGGCAATCAATGCATTCATATGAAAAATAAAATAAAATAAAATTGCAAACGCATGCAGTGGCAATAACCCCAGTAGGAAAAGTGTGCCTAGATAGATTTAGTGTGAGCTCAATCTCATTTAAATTTTATATATTTATTATATATGATAAGACCAATTCTTACCAATTCTCAAGCTTTGGTGACTTAGTGATTTGCATATGGGGATTTTAGGTTCTTTTAAACTACGACGACAATTTGACAAGTACATACTATCTTATCTACCACAAACAAAAAGATATTTCGGAACAGCTGCATAACTTTATCCAAATTTTTTTGGAAAAATAAAGTCCTGCAATGTTATATTTGCTGAAAATCAACAGTCATCCAAACTACTATTTCTTCAGTTAAATGTTTGCTACTTCATAATATGAAACGATTTACGGACAACGAACACAATGTTAAAATTATTAAATTAATATAACAATTAGTACAACAACTATTTTTTAAGCAAAACCGACCACAATTCTCATATACAAATTTAAAACTACCGTTAGTTTCTTCAGGATGCAATGATCGGATCTACACCAAATTAGTATGGGACCACCTTTCCTTAAAAAAAAAAAAAAAAATATAGAAATCAGTTAATGTGGTCCAAAGTTATGCATACAAAAAATATTCCGACGAATTGATAACCTCCTCCTTTTTTGAAGTTATTGAAAAATTATAAATTTTCAGTGGCTGTGCTTTCGAACATAAAAAAAAATTTCTATATTAGTGAAGCTCATTTTACGCTCGGTTGCTGGATGGTGGTTAATAAGGAAAATTACCAAAATTGGTATGGTTAGCAGCCGCAAGTGAACGCTGAGAGATAATGCAACCGTAAAAAGTGACTGTTTGGTGTGCAATGTGGGAAAAAGAGGAAAAAAGTCGCCGTAGCTTTCTCAATTATCAGCGCTTTGCCGTCATAATCTATGATGTTTCTGCCTGAAATCTTAATTTTGATGTAGCTGAAATAGACGGGGATACATCCCACACACTTATGGTTCTAATGCGCGAGAAATTTCCAGGTTGAATGATTTCGGCTTCGGCAGAGTGGCTTGAATCCCAGGATCATGCGATTCTACTTCTTTCGGATATCTTTTTATGAGACTATTTCACAACTATAAAGCAGTTGAGAGACTTAGTGCCAGAATTTTGTGAAAAAGGCATCGAAGATTACCCCAAACGATTAAACCTTCGTTGATGTAGCCATGTGCATCCAAAACAAAGTCGCAATAACATTCTCAACCGACAGCAAAACGCTGACCTTCTTTAAATTAATTGAGCCGGCTTCTAACAACTGACTTTTCATTGCTTTTAAGGGTGCATTCATGAACCCATGCTTCAGCAATGGCTGTGAATCTATATAGAACAAGGACAAATGGAGTCCATCGATCAACACAGAGGCGTATCGCCGAAACGAAAGCTTTTGGCTGGGTAGAGACAATTTATTCGCGGTCCTCTCCGGAAACACCGTCCCAGTAACGTTTTATGAGAGACAGAAAATAAGTTTAATATAAAAGTTTTTATTTTTAGATCATTGCCAAATCCTTATTTTTTATTTTTATTCTTCCGGTCAAGAATAGTTTTCAAATTTGGAGTTTAATTTTTCCGGTTAAGAATAGTTTTTAAATTTGGATTTTTATTTATCGACCAAAAATAGTCGGTATTTAGAATTTTTTTCGATAATTTTTATCCGTTATGGTGGAGACTGCATTTTTATGGGCGTTTTAAATCTTTTAAATAGATTTTTTTCGTAGAATTGCTATAAATATAAAAAAATAAATATTTTTTGATCAAAATTATTTCCCTTCAGATATCTTGCAAAAATGGAATTATGATGGAATTTTAACTCCAGAAATTCACAAACTCTGTTTTAAGAACGCGCGTTATGTGTTTATGAAGTAATTTTTGTATATAAGAGATGAGATTAACGGTTATGAAGAAGCATTTAGAAAAACTTTAAAGTTAAATTAGCCACATAATTTTTCTGCTTGAAGATTTCTAAAGGGAAATATTTTCATTCGATCAAAAAATATTTTTGTTTAACCATGTTATAGCAGTTCTAGGAAAAAATTTATTTTCCCCATATGAAACAAAAGGAAAACTACAAAAGCGATTTCAAAATAAAAAAATACGAGTTTCCTTATTTTCGGTATTATTTAGTTTTGGGGGTTGGCTGAAAAATACATTTTGGATCACCCTAATATACATACATACATATGTACTTTGAAGAACTTGTTATCAAAAAAAGTAGAAATTTAAATTAATCAGTCATGCACTCTTATTTGAAGGGCTCCAGTGCATACATATTTAGTGAATTTTCCTACAGGGAACGACAGAGTAATGCATTTGTGCTACTATTATTGTTGCAATCCATTAAAAAATATGTTACAAGTATCTACGCATTTACAGCCAGCATAATTTACAACTGAACCCTGACACAGAAAATATTCTTTTATATTTATTCATTTTCGATTTTCTTTGAGCAAAAAAAAACAAACAAACAAAAAAAATTGCATTCGCTCGTACTCCACAGCTGAAAGGCATTCATGTTGCTGCTGTTGTTGTTGCTGCAGCAATCGGCACAATCATTTATTTATTATCGCTCATTTGTGCCACAAATAGCATACATAAATATTGTAAATGAAAATAAATTCTAGACGCAGAACAGAACCCGCAGCAATGAACGGCAACGTCGAAGGTGCGCACGAGGTAAGCCGCTTGTCGGAGCTTACAACACGCTCGCCATTTAATTGAAATGACGCTGCATGTGGTCAGAATTATCAGCAACTACATAGTTGCTTTGTCTGTCATTGCTGACAACACAACACAGGCAACGAACGACATTCGCACTCGACAGGGACGGCGACACCAGCCAGCCGCCAGCCGCATGCCACCAATTGCCAGCTGAGCGGTGTGGTTGCAGGCGTAGCGCGCTTCTTCAGATCAACCTACGCATTTGCGGTGTTTGTTCTTATTGTTGTAGATAGTAGCATCGCGTGTAATTTTGCTGCTTCTGACATACCACTTTGACTTTGTAGTTTTATTTTCAGTTGTTATTGTTGTTGTTGTCGTGTCACAATTGCGAATATCTTTGCGATAGTCGCAAAAAATGTTGCGAAAATACATATGTTTACACATATAGTATGTATGTATGTATTTAAATAAGCTTAGCACTCTTGAGAAATTTATTTATATGCATACGTACATTAGGGTGCACCACATTCCATACAAAAAAAAAATCGGTAGATAATATTTTTCCAAAGGAAACATTGAGCTTTTATATTTCAAGGCTTCCGCCAAAATATGTATCTTGGAAAAATTGTTTATAAATAAATTTAGTTAAATGGTTTTTTTTTGTTCAAAAAATCAACACAGATAGGGGAGTTTAAGCTTAAAAGGTCTTTCATAAAACTGTTTAAAAATTTTATCAACCAAATCAGAATAATGAAATTTTTGGAGTTATTTTCAAATCGGTCCAGCTCACGTAAATCTTAGTATTTTTTTTAATATTTTGGCATAAGTCTTGAAATATAATACATTTTACAACTCCGGTAGAAAAGCCAAAATTTTTTTTTTGGTGATGCACCCTAATGTATATATGTACATATGCACCCTCATACATATTCAATTACATCTTAGATTCTTTTCCAAAGCTTGTTTTATTGAGATGAGCATTGCTTGAATTATTGTAGTTGATGTTGCTCAGCTTGAGTTCGCGCACTTTTCAGATACATACATAAGTACTTATGTAAATATATTTGCATGCACGAGTATGTCTGTATGTCGCTGTTTGGAAGTTGTTGCCGTGATTTGGGTTAATGTCGCGTGTATTTGTCATAATTTGCCTCGCAGCTTCTCGTTGCATACCGATTTGTCTATTCAAATGAGCCAGAGCAGGTTATGTACTTACATACATACATATGTAAGTACGTATGTAAATATGTCATATAGACATATGCGTATGTATTGGCCAACCAAAAATCTTAACAAAATGGTTATTCAAACGGTTTTCTTAAATTTGTTGGAATTTCGAAATAAAGATCTCAGACACGCGTGCGCATTAACATGAATTTGCGAGACTGGGTGATTGTAGTAGATTGTGGCACACAGTATTTGCTATAATACTAAAAAATAGTAATAACAAATGAACGATTTTCTGCTGACTCTTGTGTTTTCTGCAATTATTTGTGAAGAAAAGGTTTTTGAAGTGAAACTTCCTTGCGTTCTGTTGGGAGTAATGGCAAGCATCGATGTAACGAACGGGGCGAGGGGCGATGGTGGGGCCCCAAATGAGTTTAAGAACAAGATTAATATTAAGGCTACGATTTACTTTATGATTATGACTTGGATTAAGATTCTGATTGAGATTGGGATTAAAATTTAGATTAATAATAAGGTTAAGACTAAGAAGGAGACTAAGGCTAAGATTAAGATTCAGATTAAAATTAAGATTAAGGCTATTATTAAGGCTAAAAGATTAACATTAATATTAAGATTAAAATTAAGATTAAGATCAAGATTGAATTAAAATTATAATTAAGGTTAAGATTAAGATTAAGATTATGATAAAATTAAGATTAAGATTAAGATCGGGATTAAGATTCGGATTTAGATTAAGATTAAGATTGAGATTTAGATTAAGATTTATATTAAGACTGAGATTAAGATTAGAATTAAG